TGACTAGGTACTATAACCTTGGTATTCATTTCTTTAGGCTAGCCTTTATAGTAGAACAGTTGAAGATCCAGCTACCTCTCTATTTGAATTTTTTTAAATAAACTTCTTGTTACCTAATTTCAACAGATTTATATGACTACAAGAACTTATTTAATGTTTACACTACCTGATTGTTAGTTTGCATTTCTTTATATAACTACAAACTTTGTCTCAAAGAACAATGTTATATAACTGTTATATGAATGCTTTATGACTTGCCAGTCATGCTAGTGCAACTGCCATTGCAGGTATCCTAACTTAATTATTAGTAACAGTTGAATATTACATAGGTAATTATCTAAATTTTCACTATTGATAAGATTTGAATACCTAATCTACTACTTGAAGGGTTGACAACCTAATTACTTCACTAAATCACTACACTCTTCTAATATTATTTTTATATTCAGATACATTCAGATTTTATAAACCAGTTCTAAACTCTAATATAAAAAACCTTTGACCTTGTACTAAACTTTTCAGAATTTTTTGTATCTATTCTTACAGCTAACCTAATAACACTATAACTAAAATCAATATTTGCAATTAGGGCATACTACAAGTCAAAATCAAATATATAATTCAAATATCATCAAACAATCATCTAAATAATAGTTAGTCAATAGTTTGTTGACTGCTATAAGATTAGAAAAAAGTAAAAATAAGCTAATATAATAAAGATAGTTAAAAAATTTGATACATCTCAGATAATAAATAGTAAAAAATAGTAAAATATTATTTAAAAAATAATAATATCATAAAGAAGATATAAGTTAATATTTTAATAATATAATTGATATATTTTGAAAATTAGATAAATTATAAAAAGATATAGTATTGGCTTGTTATTAATTTTTTTTGATTATTTTAAAAAATATTTAAATAATATTTAGTATATTATATTAAGCATTTATAAAATATATATAATTTAAGAGTATAATTAATAGCTGATAATTTAAAGATAGTCATAAAATTTGTTATATATTAGATAATAGTCAAAACTAAATATTAATATATTATCTAATAAATAAAAATATTATAAAAAAGATATTTATTTTATTTTTTTGGTATTAAGGTAATCTCTTTGGTCTTTTGACTTTTATTAATTACTTATCAGTATTGTGGTTCAATAAACTATTACAGAAGAGCATACAATTAGCTACATGTATAACTTTTCTATATTATCTATTTAAGAAGTTCATCTAAAGGTTTTCTACTAATTGTTGTACCTAACACTTCTGCTTGGATGTTTTACTTTAAACTCTCTGAACCTGTAACCTATATTAACTCACTGAGTTATACTCAAATCATCTCAATCTTAGAACTAATTTATTCTTAAGATAAACCTTTCAGAGCTTTTTGTATCTATTTTTATAGCTGACCTAGGTATTATTATAGCAGAACTAATACTTGCAGGCAAGGCTAACCATTAAACCACTATGCCCTTGTAAAGTTTACTTAAACCCTAGCATCTACTTCATAGCATAATCCTGGTACTTTAGTATACTTCTGTCTTTTCTTCTGCCTTTTTATCAAACTTCTAATTCAGATAGTCTATGTAAGACTACAACTAGTTCATCAGTATATCAAGTCAGCCCAATATTCCTTTCTTTTAGTTCATTCTGGTAACCTAGTTGGTAGTATCTCTAAAACTTTCAATCTAAAGGTTCTTGTCTGTCTGGCTACTATGACTGAGTACTAGACCTTGGTATCTGTTTCACTGAGCTAGTCTTTACAGTAGGGTTATTAAAGATCCAGCTACCTCTCTACTTAGGTCTTTTCAAATAAACTTCTTATTACCAAATTTCAACAGATTTATATGGTCACAAAGACTTATTTAGTGTTTGTATTGCCTGATTTGTTAGTTTGCATTCCTCTGTATAACTTCAATATTGCACAGATGCCTTATAATCTGCCAGTCATTCTAGTATAACTGCCATTACAGATATTCTAACCTAATCATTAGTAACAGTTGCTGTAATATGAATATTACATAGGTGATTATCCAAATTTTTACCATCAATAGGATTTGAATACCCAACCTACTACTTGGGAGATTGACAACCTGACCATTTTACTAAGTTGCCACATCCCAAAAGAAGATATTTATTAATATCTTGAAGATTAGTTAATTATAGAAAGATATACAATTAGCTTACTAATAAATTTTTATTATTATTTTAAATAACATTTTGTTAATATATTTAATAATTTAAGAATTTTTATATATATAAAAAATATTACTTTATTTCTTAAAATTTTAAAGTAATTTAAAGTTTATTATTATATCATTAATCAATATTTAATAATATTAAAAAATACTTTCTATTATAATAGTTTACTAATATTCAATAATATATGTTGTTTAATATAATTATATTATCTTAATTATTTATAGATAATATTTTAGTTAATTAAATATATTTAATGTAATATTTAATAATATTTTTTATTCTTAGTTGAATATTAGCTTATTTGTAAAATATTAGTTTATATTATTTTATAAAAATTAAGAATAATATATACTGTTTATTTTTATATATAAAAATATTATTTTATTATATAATATTTATTTATTAGATGTTTAAATTTATTTTAGCCAATATTTATTATATTTATTAATTTAATTTTTTTTTTATATATTAATATATTATATAGATTATATAATAAAATATATAATATTTTTATTTATTGTTGTTTTTTTTTATTTTTTATTTTTTATTTTCTTTATTTTTATTTTTTTTATTTTTTTGCATTATACCTTTATTTTTATCTTTACTTTTACCTTCATCCTTACTCTTATTCTTACTTTTACTCTTATTATTATTTTCATTTTTATTATTATCTATTTAATATACTTGTGGGTCTTTTGTTTTTTATATATATTAATTTACTAATTCTTATTATAGGTATTTTTAGTCTTGTTGTTAATGGGCCTGCAGTTGCTGTGGCTAATATACTTGCTGTTGTTAATGCTAATATTCTTACTAATGTATTTGCTATTGTTGCTGCTAGTATACTTGCTATTATTGCTGCTAATATGCTTGTAGTTATTGCTGCTAATATGCTTGTAGTTGTTGTTACTACTATGCTTATGATTGTTGCTACTAGTATGCTTGTAGTTGTTGTTATAGTTTCTTAAAAACTTGATAAAAAAGAACTTCTTTCTCTTTTTCTGTTTCAGATTTTTTATTTTTTTTATATAATACAATTCTATTATTATTATAAATCATTTTTTTGAGATGTAATGAGTTAGTAAAGTAGATAGATTATCAAGCCTCAAGTAACAGGTCTAAGGTTCAATTCCCACAGATGATGAATTTTGGAAATTATATCTGTGTTATGGTAACTGTCTCTTGCTGATCAGTTGAGTTTTAGGCATCTGTAATCTTAAATATACCAAGTTAGGCCCTATCTGACATTAGAAGCTTAGAGCATTTACATGAAGTATAATGTTATATGTACATAGAAGAATGTAAAAAACTAGTGTCATATAAGGCTTTGATACAAATCTGTGATAAGACAATTAGGTGTAGAAGGCTAAGAAACCAAGAAGACTGAAACCCACTTGAAAATCCTAAATAAAGAGATAATACAAACTTTTAATGATACTATTGGACTGATAAAAGCCCATGAAACACCTTCATAGAAACTGTCAGATAAACCAGATGATAAGATGTATAGAAGAGCATATGACCAACTAGACTGCTAGAATTGTCAGAAAAAAAAGATATATAAGTATATCATATTGGGCCATTTATATTAAAAGTCTGAGAAGTCAGTTAGTTCTGAGTTGTGACTAGTAAGAAATAATAAAAAAGAAGTCAGAAAGATGGATACCAGAGTTTAAATGAACTTTACAAGAGTAATAGCAGTTTAAGAGGTAACTCTAACTATAAGTATTGGTCTTAGCCATAGCATTAAACCAGGTTAGTGGTAATAAAGAATATGGCTCACTCTAGTAGATTTATCTTGAGAATAAAAATAGTCTAAGGATTATAGTTCTATGGTTAAAAATAAATAGATCTGGGTTTGTAATCTAATGAAATTAATACCAAAGACAAATCAGAGAGTTTAAATGAAACATCTAAACAGAGATGTTAAGTACAGTAACTAGTAGAAAACTTTTGAGTAGACTTCTTAAATAGATAATATAGAAAAGTTACATGCATAGCCAGTTGTACACTCGTTTGATAGTTTATTATAAATACATCTATATAAAACATGTACCTAATATAAGTATTAATAAAAAGCTATAACCAAAAAGGTTATATTAATACTAAAAAAAAATTAATTCATCTTTTTTTTTTATTAGTTTTTTTTATACTAATCTCTTTCTCATTTTGCTTATACTTGGCTTTCTTTTTTCTTTTTTTCTTTTAGGTCTTTATCTTCAGTTAAATAATCTGTATCAAATTCTGGTTTAAAAATATTATAATAACTTAGTGCATTAGCTAATAGTACCTAGTTAGAAGAATTCTATGATAGTATTTCTTCTTTATCTATATAATCTTTGTAGTATCATTAGTATATTCTATTTTTTTTAATTAAACAAATTTTACAAATAGATTAATACATTTGTAAAACAACCTTTTTAACTAAATATTAGAATTAAAAAGATAGCTTATTATTTAATATAGCTATAAAAAAACATATATTATTAAATTAATTAATATTATATAAGAAAAGATCTAAATTAATATATATGTGTATACATGTATTTATGTTGTATAAATAATTATATATATTGTATTATGTGGGATTTTAAATTAATTAAATAAATATGCAATCAATTAAAATAATGAATGGCTTTACTTTTTCATTAGTAACATTGCTATCCATTTGGCATATGTCTTGTAAGTTATTTGTTGTTGTCACAAAAAGTTCAATTAGAAAAGTAGTGAAGGATAATTAAATCAAGCTAAAAGTAGAATATATCTTAGTTTATTTTTAGTTTAAAAATGTCACAAGAAATTTTTGATTCATTAGTATCTGATACTGATATAAATACAAATATTTTTTTTCTATTACAAGTAAGTAGTTAAGCATTTTAGTTTATTCTTTTTCTTCTTTATCATTAATGCAGATGACTAATTTGGGCAATAATTAGCACCTTTTCAATGAAAGTTTGTTGTCAGATTCATTGAATAATACTCAAGGGCCACTTTGTGAAAATGCAAATAACAACTTCTCTTTAACACAAGCAAGTAATTTTAATAATGCTTTAGATATTGCAGTAAATTTCTTTTTATCATTCATTCACTTTTTCAATATTTTATAAGATTGATTTCAATAATATTAAACACCCTTCTGATGATAATGCTAAGAAACTATTGCAAGAAATTTTAGATCTATTGATATTTACAAATAATGCTTTTTTCCTATTGTAAGTAGTTTTTATTTCTTATGTAATTTAGTTCAACAACTTTGTGTTGAATCTTTTATTTTTATTCTTTGTAAGAACTATTTCAGTAATAATCTGCATATTTATAGTAATGTTAAATATGTTAATAAAGATTCAGAAAAAATTAAGAATCAAAACAGTGAGTTAGAGTTAGAAATTGGGTTTGGTGACAAAAGTGTCACTTTGGAATTAGAAAGTGGACTTATATTCACCAATTGGTTAGAGTTTAAAACCTGGATTAACAACTTTGCTAAAAAGGAGGAATTTGATTATAAGGTTCAGACAAGTCAGATAGATGAAGAAGTAATATATCAGATTACTTATAAGTGTTCAAGATTAGGCACACATAACTCACGAATGATTTCTGACTTAACAAAATGATATAATGCATCTTTACAGCAAATACAATGTTCATAGAAACTTAATGTTTCTTGTTCTAGAACTACTAATATTATTAAGATTAATTCATATATTAATAAATATAACTATGAACTCATATCAACAAAATATGAAATAGTATACTAATAGAATAAACTCTTTTTATAAATCCTTTTACACAAAAATAACTAAAAATCCATCAGTAATAAAATCGTCAATACCTGGTTATTTTATTAAGATAACCAACTTTGGTGTCTTAAGTAAACTTGCTCAGTTCCTAATTTTACATATACTCTGAAAGTTTCAAGTCTATAACTTTCGAACTCGCAGTTTAATACTGCCAATACGGCCTTTGGCCTTCACTACTAAACTTTTAATTATTTCTCATAAAGCATTCTATTAACCTATTCTACAGTCATAAGAAAAGTTGTAAAGCACTTCCTTCCGATCAAAACAAGCC